ACACACACACACACACACACACACACACACACACACACACACACACACAGAATACTCACAAACATACACAATCAACCATTGGGTGCACATACATGCTCAGATATTCATGTATTCCCCCTTAAAAGCCCTCTTGTCTCAATCTCTAGAGCTTTCTGTATAAGAAAGCTAATGGTTTCCGGTACTGGAATGGCCTGAACAGAAGAGAAGATCAGAAGACATTCCACTGGACAGATGGGACCTTGTATGACGAGGCCAAGACCAAAGAGTGAGTCCACCCTGCCCTGTCTCCCCTGGGCCTTCTGTCTGCCAATGGCCCTTTCGAAACTCTGGGAGCTTTCTCCAGGGGAAGCCCAGGCTGAGGGCCAAGTCAGAGGAAATAACTCTACCTGTCCCCTGCTACTATTCTGTATGTCTCTACTCTCTGTGGACATATATATTCTGTCTGCATCCACATATGTGTGAACCTCTCCTGGCCTCAAGAAACACTGAGGTGAAAATAAGGCAGGAACTCTGAGTTTGATGGGCTCCTTCAGGTACTCATAAAGGCCCTGGCAAGGGGTGGGGGGAACATGGGGCCACTTAGGATGTCTCTGGAAGAATTTAGAAGACTAGAGGGAGAATGTCCCTAGAGGTGTCCTGTGCTACTGACTTCCCAGGCCTTGGCTGTGGATTGGGCATTCAGGGCCCTTTTGAGAAGCCATACTGGGATAACACCTGAGGCCAGGCCAATTTGAGGCTGCTAGGTTCCAGGGCTGCACCCAGACACAAAGGAGAAAGTTTTCTATTAAGTTTTGGTGTATAGCTACAAATTTTCTCTCTCTCTCTCTCTCTCTCTCTCTCTCTCTCTCTCTCTCTCTCTCTCTCTCTCTCTCTCTCTCTCCTCTTCTCTCTCTAGGTTTTGGATAACAGGAGAGCCAAACAACAACAATAACAATGAGCATTGTGTCCATTTCTCGAAGAAAGAGCTCAAATCATGGAATGATTTAAACTGTGAGTCTTCCTTAAAGTTCATCTGTAAGTGGAACTGTGAGTCATCTGGGCTGTGCAATGAAATATTTGGGCACAAACACTGAATTGTTCTGATTCCCCATATATGAAACAAGGGAAAATATGGCAAACATCCTTCCATCCACTATCTATAGCAGTTTATGGGCTCCATTTTCATTCCCACTTAAAGTTCTCCCAAAGGAGCCTGAAATGATCAGTAGGGGGGCTTGATCAGCTTGGCCAAGTGATGCCTCCATCTCATCAAGCAGCCTCCTAAAGGACTGGACCTCTTTGAGAGTGAAGGACAACAACCAACCAAACTGGCATGTACTTCCTCCTGACCCTCGTCACTAGCTGCTTTCAAGGCTCCCCTCCAATGCCATCTCCTACAGGAAGTCTGTCCTGGTTCCTTCCACCCACCCAGCTGCTACTGCTTCCACATCCTTTCAGATTGCTTTGTATTTACTTGGCTTTTATTTTGTAGTTATTTTTACGTGTGCATGTTGTTTCTTCTGAGAGAATGCAAGTTCTCTGAAGACAGGGACTGTAATTAGATACCTGACGTCAGCAAGGACCCAGTGTGGACGTTATCTGCAAAAGTCACTCTTAACCAGTAACAAGAATTGCAGGAGGTAGTTTTGGGGCTCCCCTATCTAGAGATTAGGGATGTACGTTAAACTATAGAAAGTGGAAATCCTCTACCCACTGAGCAGGACACAACTTCACACCAGAGGAGGACATTATGTACGAAAGGCCCCAGGGAGATGGAGTTTTCTCAAGGACAAGATTTCATAGCGCTGATGAAGAATCTTCAAATCTCGATCTCCTTGTAGTCTCCTCTGGCTTAGTGGCAGGCAACCAAATACATGGTGCGATGGATAGAGCACTGGTCCTGGAGACAGGAAGACCTGAGTTCAAATCTAGCCTCAGGTTCTTACTAGTTTCTGTAACCCTGGATAAGTTGCCTAATTGCTGTCTACCTCAGTTTCCCCATCTGTAAAATGGGGGTGATAATAATATCTATCTCACAGGGTTATTGTGAAGAATAAATGAGATAACATTTGTAAAGTACTTAGCCCAGTGCCTGGCACATAGTAGGTACTTAATAAACTCTTTCTTCCTCTACACTCCCCCTGCCCCTCCATTGGCAGCTGTGAATTGTGCATTTGTCTGGGTGAATGAACCTAAAATCAAAGAATTTCAGGGTGGAAAGAGATTTTAGAGCTTTTAGTCCAGCCCTCTCATTTACCTCCCTGACCATGTTTTCCCTCTCTGGCCATCTTGCAGTCAAGATGGCACCAAAGACCTGGCCTAGAAAACCCAAACCTTTCAGTTCTAGAACTCTTGTCCTGGGTCCTCACTGTTATGATTGGGATTGCATCACCTGGCCCACTATATCTAGGTCAGCCCCAGACATGGCCCAGGTAACATCTCAGCTGAGTGCTTACCCAACACTCCTCTCTCCACACATTCCAGTTACAGAGTGTAATCAAGACACCTCAAGCTAAAACTCTTGGTACAAAGGGCAGGAAATCCCGGATTCTGAAGACTCTAGAATAGATTAGCCAAGGCTCTACAGAGCTGAAGATGATGCCAGCCCAAGACATAAGCAAGAATACCCCAAAAGATAACCTGTCCAGGGGGCAGCTAGGTGGCGCAGTGGATAGAGCACCGGCCCTGAAGTCAGGAGGACCTGAGTTCATATCCGGCCTCAGACCAAACACTTGACACTTACTAGCTGTGTGACCCTGGGCAAGTCACTTAACCCCAATTGCCTAAAAAAAAAAAAAAAGATAACCTGTCCAAAAGGAGAGGGTCAGATTAAATGATCCCTTCCAGCATTAAACTCTATGAAGTCCAGAAGTGGGCCATTTTACAGGGTAGGGCATTTTTTAACAACTTTGCTTTTTGATGGGTGAATCTAGAGGACTTTGAACAAATTCTAGAAAAGACATTTTGGTTCCCAGAAAGAGCATCCAGGGAGAGAAGAGGGTGGCACAGGAAAGTGGCCCAAGGTCCAGGGAGTCAGTCAGCAGCCTGAGGAGAAGTCCAAGGCCATGGGGAGTGCACCTGAGAAGCAGATGAGGCCTGAGGCCTGCAAGTGGGTTATTATAACCAGGCCACAGGCAGTGATGTCACTTTTTTTCTCCTAAGAGGTATTTGAATACTTAAGTTGGGAGTGGGGTGGGACCCTGAAAGCTTTCAGAGAGTTATCCCTCCTGTCCAAGCTTCTGGTTCAAGGCTAGAACCCAGGCAGTCATGATGAGGCCCCCAAGAGAACATAGTATTGAGAGCAGGAAGCCCAACCAGACCAGATACCATGACAAATTCTTCAGTTCAGGAAGCCTTGAGTAGGAAGGAAGTGGGATGTCTTAGCTATGGGTGATAATGACTGGGAGATACTGCTAAATCTAGGGAATTATCTGAGGCTCAGGAGGTTAAGTGACTCGCCTAAGGTCTGAGACAGGAATTGAACCCCAGGACTTCCCCACTCTCTCCTCTAGGCTGAAATATCTCTAGACAGCTCTAAGCAAATAAAAGATGAAAAACAACATTTGTACAGTGCTGGGGGCCACAGGCAGGAGGGATATGGCAGCTCAGCCCAAAAGAAGTAGGAGCCTTGGCTGGTTAGAAAAGCATCAAAGGCTTAAATGCTGATGAATCACTTTGAAATAACAATGAGAATGTGTTTTTAATGGTGACATTATGGAAAATTCCAGGAAATAAAAAATGAAAAAGCAAACAGAATACTTTTGCTAAAGGGTTTTAGACCTGCAGCAATGGGAGTTTGCTTATTTAGCTAGGATAAACCCAGTTTGACTTCAGAACAGACAGAAAAACAATTCTATAAGCAGCTTTTGAGCCAGAATGGCTTTAAAAGCATTGCCCAGGTCACCTCCTACTCAACATTCAAATGTGAATAGGAATGCCTTGAAGCTAATGGGCCCCTTTTGGACAGATTTGACCTTTTCTTTGCTGATCAAAAGAACAGGCAACTTTTGCCTTCCTACTTGGGGAGAAGAGGAAGGGAATAAGCATTTATTAGGTGCCTCCTATTTGCCAGTCACTGCACTAAGGACTTTACAAATATTATAAATCATTTCTAGATTTAAATCAAGTTCTTTCATCAGTAGACCTTATGATCAAGAATTTGACAGAAGAAATCAATGGAATTGCTCAGAGAACTATATTACTTTACAGTAATCATGGCTGTTATCATAGGGTACACATAGGTCATACTGAAATGACCATGGATCACCCCATGGAAAATATGGGCATTCCTATTGAGGTACCTTACAAAAAAATTGCCAAACCCCTATTAAATTGGCCAAAAGGAAAAGAAAAAAAAAATTAGGCAAAGAGTAAAAGTAGACAAAAGACATTGGGGGCCCATTGCACCTAAAGAGAGGCCTGAAGGTCATCATGCCTTGGGTTGGACCATCACCCCCATGCCAAAGGCTGAGGGAGAAAAGGACAGAATGAGAACAAAGTCTGAGGATGGGATTCTGCAGCTGGGTCCAGTTCAAGGAGCTTCCCCTCTAATGTGTCCAGAGCTGACTTTCTGAAAGTAGCACCATAAAAAGAATCTATAGAAGAGGACCTCTGGGTTTCAGTACCTCAAGCTAAAACTCTTGGTAAAGACAGCAGGAAATCCCTGATTCTGAAGACTCTAGAATAGATTAGCCAAGGCTCTACAGAGCTGAAGATGATACCAGCCCAAGACGTAAGCAAGGGTCCCCAAAAAGACAGAGAAAGAAAGTCATTCTTCACCAAATATTTACCTGTGGGCCAATGGCGGGCTTAGCTGGGTTGAACCTTAGGCTATAGATGCACAGTCCATTCCTGAGTCCATCTTCAGAGATTGGGCACTAGGCTGGCAGAATTTTGAAGGGCCCATAATTGTCCACCCTCCTATGGGGGCCCAATGAAAGAAGGTAAAGAAAATGTAAATTCTTTCTATCTGCAAGGAGGGAAGCTAAGAAAAAAGATATGACTGCTTTCTACAAAATTGTAAAGGGTATGGAAAAGAAGAATGTGGCTTCACTCCCAAAACCCGAACACTCAGTGGAGGGCCCCTCCAAAAAAACAAATCTTGAAAAAAAGCAGCTTTAGGAAACTAAAAAGAATAACAGGGAAGATGATAGAATGTAAGCTCCATGAGGGCAGGGACTGTCTGTGCTTTTTCTTTGTGTCCCCAGAGCTTAGGACAGTGCCTAGTTAATAAATGCTTTTTGATTCATCAATTAGTTATTGACCCTGTTACATTCAGAAATGGTACAGTCCATTTCATCCAGTCATCCACTGGTAGGCCAGGGCCTCCCCACCAAGGAGCCTGGTCACTGGCCTTCTCTTCACCAGAAAGAAACCCAGACATCCAGACCCATCCTACCCCACCCCAGCACCATTCCATGGCAGCGGAAGTGACCCTGGGTTCTCATCCAGTTCTGTGAGAAGCTTTATATGTATGTACATATATATATATATTTTTTTACCATAGCAGCTTATAAGCTGCTAAGCATGCAGAGCAGGAAAGGGATGGGTTGGCATATTTATATCTCCAAGTTGTTGTTCAGTTGTTTTTCAGTTCTGTCTGACTCTTCATGACCCCATTTGGAGTTTTTTTGGCAAATATAACTGGAGTGGTTTGCCATTTCCTTCTTCAGTTAGTTTTATAAATGAGGAAACTGAGGTAAACAGGTTAAGTGACTTGCCCAGGATCAAATAGCTAGTCAGTATCTGAGGCTAGATTTGAACTCAGGTCTTCCTGACTCCAGGCCCAGCGCTCTGTGCACTATGGCACCACCAATGTGGAGGTCCTGGGTCCAAATTAGGAAGACCTAGGTTCAAGTCCTGCTTTTTACTCAAATTATCTGTGTCACCTTAGATGAGTCATTACCTCTGTGTTCCAAACAACTCTCTGAGACCCTAACCTATGGAGGATTGTCCACCATTTGGTTTCCTTCCTTGGTGCACCCTACACTGATGAAATCCTAGATCCAGACCAAAAAAAGAAAAAGAAAAAAATATCACCCATATCACCTCCTTTTAGAGTTGCCACAAGGCTCAAATGGGACCCATTGAATTCTTCTGAACCTCAGTTTCTTCCCCTACAAAATGAAGACATTGAACCAGATGGATTTGAAGACCCCTTCCTACCCTACTCATGATCCTAATGATATTGCCATGAGAGGCTTAGATTAAATAAACACCGAGGTCCCTTCTCCAATAGCTCAAAAATGCTTTGCTTTTTTTAATTGTTTTTAATTAAAAAAAAAGTTTTATTGACATGTTTGTTTTTAATGTTACAAACATTTCTAGGTTGTCCCCACCCCATGAGAGCTCTCTCAAATTAAAACAACTGTGTAAAATGAACCTCACTGGAAAGTGTGTGTAATGTTCCAGACCTGTAGCCAGCTCCCAAATTCTCAATTTTAAGTGTTTGATTTAATTAGCAGGAACCTAGTATCTACCCCTTCTACTCCACAGCCCACTTAAAAAAAAAAAAAGAAACAAAAGACGAACATACTGTGACAAATATGTATTGTCATGCAAAACAATCTGAGTCCATCAGCTATAGTGACAGTGAGGGCTGGATTTGAAATAGGAGGATCTGGGTTTGAATTATGACTCTATTACTTAACTACCTGTGTGACCTTGGGCAAGTCACTTCTGTGGGTCTCAGTTTCCTTCTCTGTAAAATAAAGAGATTGGACGAGACAGCTTCTGAAGTCCCTTGCAGCCCTAAATCAATACTCTTATGATCTCTTAGACATAAAAGGGAGTTTTGGGAGGAGGAATTGGGGTGAACGATTGAATGAAAAAGCATTCATTAAGAGCAGATCATCTTCCTGCATTCAAATGCAGTTACTGTTGCTTCATTTTTATTACAATAATAATTATTATTAATTATATATTATGTACTAACCATACATAATCATATAATTTATACAATGCAGAATCCAAATTTCTTCACACTGGAGTCAAACAATCCTTCCATATAAACAGGAGGGAGAAAGGAGGTTTGGGTACCCAGCTGGGGAGGGGGAGAATGGTGAAGTCAAAGAAAGAACAAAATGAGTGTATCCAGGGAAAGAAGGAGAGGATAGCTAAAGAGCAAAATCATTTTGTCTCACATTTTATAGAGGAGGAAACTGAGGCCCAGGGGTAGCAACTTGCCCAATGTCACACAGCAAGTTTGTGGCTTAGAGTTTAGAATCGAGGTCTCATGACTCCAGATCTGTCCACTGTGCCACACTGTCTCTCTCATTTGACACTTAATAGTGTATTGCCTCACTTGTTTTTTCCCCTGTTTTGTGGGTTTGTACATAGTCACTCAAATTATAAGTTCTGTCAAGGTAGGACCATGTTCTTCCTTCCCCCATTAACACAATGTCTTATTTAGTAGCCACTCAATAAATGTTTGTTGATTGACTACCTTGTTACCTGTGTGGAAGCAGCTTCCCTCTGTGATGTCCTTACTGTTTTCTTCTGCATTTTCTGGATCGTCTACATCAAAAATTAAGTCAAGTCAACAAGCATTTATTAAGTGCCTGGCTAATTGTGCTAAACCCTGGAGAGACAAAGGCAAGAACAAACAAACAGAACAGTCCCTGCCCTCAAGGAGCTCACAGTCTAAGGGAGGCATAATACAAATAACCGAATACAAACTAGATACAGACTGGGTAAATTGGAGACAATCCCAGAGGGGAAGCCACCAACATTAAGAAATCCAAGGAAGTGCTGGAGTTGTCTTGAGTACCAACCTAAAGGGTAGCTGTCCATGGTCATGATCCGATCCTGCTTTACAAACTAGATTAGACTTTTAGCTGACTCATGCTTCTTGACGGGTCTGCTTTCTCAAGTACAAATGTGGTAAAAGAAGCTGGCTATGTGCATGGCCCCAGAGTGACTTCTAAGGGCCAGCCTGCTAACACATCTGCCAGCTCTTCTGCAAATGGGCTTTGGGCATAACTGTTCCCATAATGAAAATGAGGAAGGACCAAATGCAGGAGATGGGGATGGGGAGAGAGGGGAGCCGGGAATTGAATCTGTACCGGTAGTGATTGCCTTAGCTTCTCTTTGTTTAGTGTTGTTACCACTATAATAAATTTTACATATAAATGTACACACACACATACATGCATATAAAAAAACATACTGGGCAGGTAGGTGGTGCACTGGGCTTGGAATCAGGAAGATTCATCTTCATGAGTTCAAATCCAGCCTCAGACATTTGCTATCTATGCGACCCTGGACAAGTCACTTCACCCCATTTGCCTCAGCTCCTCCTCTGAAAAATGAGCTAGAGAAGGAAATGACAAACCACTCCAGTATCTCTGCCAAGAAAACTCCAAATGAGGTCACGAAGAGTTGGACATGACTGAAAAATGACTGAACATTCCATTCATTCACATGTCATATAATACATACATATATGTGTGTATATATTTATACACACATATATGTTAGTTATATATGTATGTATATGCATACACTGAATGTATGTAAGTTCTTCAGGACTGAACTGAGAAAGAAAATAAGATTGAGGAATCACAAGCTGAAAGAATTATGAGTGATTTGGGGGAGCTAATATAAACCCCAATATTTGAAACATGGAACCTGGGGCACTAGGGAAATATTGGGATCCACACAAGCTTAAGTGGTAGCAAGTCAGTAGCTAAAGACTGGGACCTCAGGGTGCTTTGGGTGTGTTCAGTGGGAAGTAAGTTCTCTAGTGGATATCAACCATGGAAGTCCCATGGGAGATAGTGTTGTTATATGTGCACCCAGTGTTATATAAGGGCATTAACCAAGGGGAAAAAGGAACATTTAAGAACATGTATCAAATTTTGCTTCTAATGGTTCCCTCCTCAAGTGCCTCACTGGGTAGTGGAGGCAATCTGATTGGTTTTTTAAGGCTACACTTGCAGAGCCTGAGCTGAGGTGTTGGGGTGCCAATTAAAATATCTACTTGAATATAGGTTCATGGCAATTAGTCTCAATCAATTAACCCTTTTGATCTTCCTTCCCTCATGACTCATTCTTTTATAGCAAACACTCAGAATGTAATATAAATCAATTTATATTTACCTGGAGACAAATTACCTTATATAACAGATAACAAATAAACAAATTCCAAATAGATTGGCAAAGTCTGAAGGGTATCAATGCCAGCTGGCTGACCAATATTGAGGAGAGAGTGAGGGAGAGAGAGTTGGAGAGGGGATAATTTCACCATATCCCACAGCATGGTAACATGGTAACTAGGGACATCCAGGCCAACAACAAATTCTGTATAGGCAGGTCACTCCTGAACTTGGTCAATGAGCCAGACCAGGCTCCAACTGTTCATGATTCTATTCAGTGTTGAATAGCCACATCCTTCCTTGCCATCAATTCACTACTGCTGTGTAGCTACCCTCCCCTTGTATATTCTCTGGGGAAAGCAAAAGTTTCCAGCTTTCCTTGTCATCAGAGGCTTCTGCTTCCCATGATCCTTCAGGCCTTCCTTCTGGATTGGAAAAAAAGTTAATTTTCCATCAGACCCTTTCCTGATAATAGTCTCTACAAGGATCAGAAAAGTCATGGTTGGTGTACCTAATGATTTCCAGGTGAATGGATTTTTGAGGTCAAATTGATTTTTAAAACCAACTACTCAAGTGTAGAGGGGCTAAATTCAATTCAATAGTTATAAAGTGCCAACCATATTCTAGGCACTGTACTAGATTAGGGGATGCAGAGACAGAATAATTCAATAGTCCTTAAAGAACTTATATTCTACTGGGGAAGAAGATGAGAATGCAACAAGGAAATAGATAACTCTATGCAGGATAATTATAATAAAAAAAAACTTACCCCACAACCATCTTCTTACTAGTCACCTTACCACTCCCCTCCTCCCATCTACTTTCCAATTCTGGAACCATAATCATATCAATATCACCATCGCTACTGGAAAGGGTATGTCAATTTACTTTCCTATGACTCCACTTCCCATTCCTGTAATTTGCCAAGCCAAAATACCCTTCCCTGGCCTCTACTCCCTATATATATTCTTCCCCAAGTAGAAGGTAAGCACCTTGAGGACAGGGGCTATCTCACTTCTGTATTTACATCCCTAGCACTTTACATAGTGCTTAATAAATGAGTTTTCATTCATTCATTCATTCATTCATTCATTCATAGTTTGAAGGGAGAAACCAACACAGGGAATCAGGAAAGCTGCAAACTTCACCAGGAAAAGATTACTCAAACCACAATTCATTACCATAATCATTAAGGACCTACTATGTGCTCAGTGTTAGGGAAACAATTACAGAAACTAAAAGAGTTCTTGCCTTCAAGGAATTTACATTCTACTTAGATTTTCCTCATGCCAATTGAATCCTGGATTTTCTGATGTCTATAGGACCCACATATAGGACGTTCCTTTCCATCTCTCTAATTCTAGGAAAGATCCACAGAAAATCAGTGTGTATCTCTCCTTTGCACTTAGTTATAATTTTGTGCTTAACACAGTGTTTATAGTAGGTGCCTAATAAATTATTATTGAAGTGAATTGAATTGAACCCCCTACAAAGTTCCTTGAAGGCAGGGATTGTTTCTTATTTAATCTTTGAATCTTCCCTATCACAGTGCTCCGCTTAATCAATGCTTCTTGAATCAAAGTGAAATGAATTTGAAGAATCAAGAGGCTGGGGTGACTAAGTGATGCAGTGGATAGAGCTCCAGCCTTGGAGTCAGGAAGACCTGAGTTCCAATCCGGCCTCAGGCACTTGACAGTTTCTAGCTGTGTGACCCTGGGCAAGTCACTTAACCCTGATTGCCTCACCAAAAAGCAAAAAGTAAATAAAAAATAAAGAATCAAGAGGCTGAAAGGAACCTCAGAAGGGAAAAAATAAAGTCATGAAATGAGAATCTCAGAGTTAGAAAGGACCTAGTCCAACTTGTGCCTAAATAAGAATCCCCAAAAGTCAGATTCCAAAAATCATCCACAGAAATACTGTATGCGGGAAGGTATGGTTTGAAAATAATTCATATAAAAATGATCTGTGGGTCTTAGTGGACTACTGCAAGATCCAATGAGTCAACAGTGTGATATGATAAGCATATAAATTTTTAAAGGCTATTGGGATAGGAGATCTTCAGAGGGATAAAAAGATATATAGAGTGTCTCAAGAGGAGGCATGCTGTAGTAGATAAAATGATCGCTAGATTTGGAGTTAGAAAGCCCCACTTCAACTGGTACCCCAGATTTTTTACTAGCCACATGACCCTGGAAAAAAAAAATCACTGAACCTCTCTGAGTTTCAATTCCCTCACATAAACTGAGCATCTTCAGCTACCTCACAGGGTCCTTTTCTCACGGGTGTTTTCTCAGAGGGTTTTCAAAGACAGTGTTAGATTTAACTAACCAGTTCAACTCTGAGAATTATTTGGCATTCCCCCTAATTCAAGTCCTTGAATTGAAGAATTGAGTTGAATTGAATTTCCTATGAATCTTGTCCTGGAAAGACAATACCCTGGATATTAGACTTGTCCATCTAATCATGAAGAAGATACACTCCCAGAATTAGTTGTAAAATTTTAGAACTGGATGAGACTCAGAGGATGTCTAGGACAATGTACACTAGGGCTAGAATCTCTACCACAAAAACCATCCCTGACAAGTGGCCCTCTAGTCTTGGCTTAAAGTTCTCCAGTGAGAGACTGACCACTCCCTCCCCAGGCAACCCAATCCACTGTTGGTCAGTTCTCATTGTCTGGAAAAGTTCTCTATCCTGAAGTCTAAATCTGCCATGAAGCTTTCTTGAAAAGCTCTCCTCTCCCACAAGCATGCTACATTTAGAACCTCACACAACTTTGTTTTGTCCCCACTATAATGCATTTACCAAGTAAGATTGTGCATTCTGCTTACCAGTGTTCGCTGCCTCCAATGCTTACTAGCTATGTGACCCTGGGCAACACAGCTCTATTTGCCTCAGTTTCCTCATCTGTAAAATGGGGATAACAATAGCACCTCCCTCCCCTGGTTGCTATGAGTATAAAATGAGATAATAATTGTAAAGCGCTTAGCACAGTGCCTTGCATATAGTAAGTGCTATTAAGTTATTTTTACTACTACTACTACTACTATTATGATTACTATTACAATTATTATTATTATTATCTCCCTATTAGATTGTAAGCTCCATGAAGGTAAGTCCTGCTTCAAATGTTTATGTCCCCCTGAACATTATCTAAAATTATTCTTTGTCTTGTGTTTCCCCCTAGAGTTTCAAAGTAAAATAGAAATAAAGATAATTCCCCAGTTTCTGCCTTTCCACACAAATATACACCCACTCCCACCCTGTTCCCTGCAAGGTTCTGAAAGACTCAGCAGAAATCAAGAGTTCATCTCTTAATCTCCTCAAGGCCAAGTTCCAATCAGGGGCCTTTTCAGAGCTTCTAAAGCACCCCCTATATTACAGTTGTGCCTCGGGGAGGAATATAGACTGCCAAAGAAATGTGAATAAATCAGATGGTAAGTGTCCTCGGGAAGTGACAATGTAAAAGCCCTATGCCAAGTCAGAAGGGACCATGAACCTGGCCTTCTGGCTGCAGTGTCTTGGTTTCTTCAGAGGCTAGGAGAGAAGGTGTGGCCCATTTTTTTCTCCTCTTCTGAGGACGGACCACTGGCCTCCTAGTCAAGTTCTGTTGTTCCGCCTACATCCGGATCCTCCTCAAACCTCTCCAGAGCTCTTTTACAGAGACCTCGGAGATGGCTTTGACAGTCACTTTCCTTCCATGAGCTCAGGCCCTTGACCTGCATCTCCACACACTTGCCTCTCATCTTCCAGGGTTGTGGCTGACCTTTTATCCAGAACCTGGAGAAAAAAAAAATAAAATTTTAAAATGGACAAAGTCATTCTGGTGACCTGAGCTGTAAAGAGTCCTTTGATCCCTCAATACAGCCCAGAAGTGTTTTTTTTTTTCAAAGCTACACCTGCAGGAGCAAGCTCTGGCAGGTTTGACAAAGCCTACACCAGGAGTGGGGAGTCTAGGCCTTGAGGCCTCAAGACCACGGGTTCCCCACTCCTGGTCTAGACTGTATCTGCAGTGCAAGGATCCACCATGGTGGAATGCCAACTAGACTGGAGTCAGAGAAGTCACCTACTAGCTGTGTTCACGTTACTCAACCTTTCCCTGAACCGCCATTTCTTTATCTATAAGATGAAAAGCTTGAAGTAGGCAGCCCGCAAGTCCCTTTAAAGCTCTAAATCTAAGGTCACTGGGAAGCTGGCTACTTAGACAAGAAATGAAGAAAAGGGCAGCCAGATGGAGCAGTGGATAGAGCTCCGGCCTTGGAGTCAGGAGGACCTGAGTTCAAATACGGCCTCAGACTAGCTGTGTGGCTCTGGGCAAGTCACTTAACCCCAACTGCCTCACCGAAAATAAATAAGTGAAAAAACAAAGAGATGAAGAAAAATCTGAAAATGATCTCAGATTCCATGGAGGCCTTTCTGTGTCTCTGGGTGTAACCCCTGAATGGTGGAAAGAGAGGCAGTCAATACTGAGAACCACCTAGCTTTTAGACCATCCGCAAACATTCTTTAAACTACTGAGACTCTAAATAGGGGGTTCTTGTCACAAGAGGTGGTTGGATGAATTAAACTATGACATTTTTACTATGAATAAAGTCAGAAGGCCTAAGGAAATAGCAGCTAAATGGAATGGAGACTGGAAGGCTAAAGTCAATCCAAAACAACAAACTTTCATTAAGCGCCTACAAGGCCATTAGGTGGTGCTATAGGGCATTGAGTGCTGGGCCCGAAGTCAGGAAGACTCATCTTCACAAGTTCAAATCTGGCCTCAGACACTTATATCTGTGTAATCCTGGGTAAGTCACTCAACCCTGTTTGCCTCAGTTTCCTCATCAGAGTTAGAGAAAGAAATGGCAAATTAGTCTAGTATCTGTACTAAGAAAACCCAAATGGGGTCACAAAGAGTCAGAGACGACTGAAAATGACTGAACAACAGGTACAGGGCAGAGTGAAAGAATGGCGTGGTAAATATTGAGTTGACCTCAGAGTCAGGAAAACTTGTCCCATCTCTGACACACGCTGCATGCGAGGGAAACATTTATATAGCACCTACTGTATGCCAGGTAGTGTGCTAAGCACTTTACAACTGTCATCCCATTTGATCTTCACAACTTCCCTGGGAGATTGGTGCTACATTTATCCCCATTTTAGAGTTGAGGAAACTGAGGTTGACAAAGGTTAAGGGACTTGCCTGGGGTCACACTGCTAGTGAGTACCTGAAGCCAGATTTGAACTCAGGCCTTCCCAACTCCAGGTCCAGCACTCTATCCACTGTACCACCAGCTGTCTCTAGAGTACTGAGAAGTTAGAGGTGGGCCTTGAACCCAGATCCTCAACTCTAGCTGCTAAGCCACTGCTATCTATTTATAAATATAAATATGTAAAATACTATAGCTAATATTCGCTTATCTGCAGACATGTTGTTTCCCCCAGCAGGATGTAGATTTCTCGAGGGCAGGTATTCTTTTACTTTGTCTTTGTTGTCTGGTGCCTGGAACATAGTAGGAGCTTAATAAATGCTGATTGAATTGAACTGAATTAAATTGATGCTTCAGGAAGCCTGGATGTCTCATTTCCTTTGTCCTTTTCAGCCCCAATCCTCTGCTCTTCCCTCTTGGCCCAGCAGAGGGGCTGATGGGGACACTACTGTTCAGACGGCAGGTCTCAGACATCCTGATACAGCAAACGTGCCTTGCAGACCAGATGGCTGATTGGGGGCCAGCAGGGCAGACAAGGCATGGTGGTCAGAGACTTTTGGCCACAGGATGCCCAAGTATTAAAGAAATAAAGGAGGCTGGCCAAGGCAGCGATGGAGGACCCAGGAGGGAAGGCTGGCAAGAGGGAAGCTTGTTACCATGGCAACGTACCCTGCCTGAGCCATGCATTTTCTGTTCCAGAATGAACAGGGGCTCCTCTGCTGATGCAGATAATCAGATTTTGTAAATGCTTTCAACTGAGGCATAAAGGAAGCATGTCTGCTCACAGCGTGCACCAGCACTGAATGGTTAGGGTAGGCGGTGAAGCTGGTGCATTGTGTCACCAATTCAATCATTTAAAGGTTATTGAGTTGGGAAACTTAAAAAAAAAAAAAACTAGGAACCAGCCCCAAATCAAAATTCTACTTAGAGCCAAAATGGAATTATTTAATCACAGAACTGAATAAGAGAAAAATGAATGAAAAATTTCATGAAATGAAGCTGGGTGACATCAAATAGATTTGAAATGATGGAAGGGAAGGGGAGGTAATGGAAGAGACTGGGCATATCTCAAGGCCAAACACTTAACTGGTCAGAGCAACAGCTGCGGAATTTGGCCTTCCATCTCCCCTCTGCCTTCCGTCCCCAGCGTGTTGTTCTCCATAGCTTACCCATGGTCTTCTATCTTTCATCTGCTCAGCCCATCTAGGTACCTATGTACCTGGACCTGGACCTGGAGTCAGGATGACCTGAGTTCAAATCCAGCCTCAGACTGACTGACTTACTAGCTGGGAGACCCTGGGAAAGTCACTTTAGCTCTGTCTACCTCAGTTTCCTCAACTGGAAAATGAGGATAGTAATGACTTTCCAGGGTCATTGTGAGGATCAAATGAGATAATATTTGCAAAGTGCTTAGCATAGTGCCTGGCACACAAAAGGTATTTAATAAATGCTTACTCTCTTTCCCACAGAATTTCAGAGCCAGAGGGGTCCACAGTAGCCATCAATCTGACCTGTGCCTGCAAAAATTTCTTCTCTATACCACACCCAATAACTTGTCATTCAGCTCTTGCTTAGAGCTCTCCAATATAGAGGGAGCCACTGTCTCCCAACGCAGCCCATTTCAATGATTAAGAAATTTTTTCTGACATCAACCTAAAATTTGCTTTCTCTTTGTTTTACTCTCTGAGGCCAGACAGAAAAAACTGAATCCACACAAGTCTTTCAAATACTTGAAGTCAGCTATCCCTTTCTCATGCTCAGACCCACACGTGGCTTCTTCTCCTGGACCCAAATATGATAGGAGAAGTCAGTCAAGGAGGGATGGGAAACTCTCAAAAGTCAAGTTCTGAAGCCACCAAGTGAAATAGTTCTCATGAAGAGGGGAAGATGAATGTGGTCTGAAGAAACAAATGTGGATGTTCATGGAACTCCCCGAGCAACTTCGATTTTTTTAAAAAACAGAATATGGGTGGGTAAAAGAGAGTCAATACAAAGGTAGGGCATGATCTATTAAGGAGAGTGGCAGGAATGCTGAAGCTCAGAATAAAGGCAAGCAGTTACAGAAAGTTCAGACAATCAAAGAGGGTTTTAGCTATGTTGGGGAGGAGAGGGGAACTGTGTGGGGTGGATGAACCACTGGCAGCTGAGGCAAGAAGACAGATCTGCTGGATTTAGATTTTCCTTCTGTTTTTCTTAACTAAGGAGAGTGATCTGAAAAGATGGAATGAAATTGGCTGATCAGAGGTTGACCCCCAAAATAATTAAGTGCCTACCTGCCCCTGATAGGTTCAGGTCCCCCATTATCAGGCACTGGGGGGATGGAACTAGAATTAATAGAATTGCTCTTTGCCCTCAAGGGGGTTACATTCTCCATAGAAAAATAGGCAAATGTTGTTCTTACTTTTTAAAATGTTATACTTACTTCATTTGGCAGCCTGGTAAAGGCTAGATTGGGGGGAACTGGGGTCAGGAAGACCTATGAGGACCAGGTGAGAGAGGTGAGGAGAACCCCTGCTAGGGTTGTGGCTTCATGAATGGAGAGAAGAGAAGGCAACGGGCGCATGGCCTTTGTGGCAATGCCAGAAATTTGTGGGAGGCGAACAAATAGCTACAACCTTGAGGGACAGCTGGGGAAGACGTAAGAGAGTGAATGCATGATTCAGGGGCTGCAGGGACAATGAGTCTGAGAGCAGAACGTTGCCTAGGAAGTCTCATCTTGCTTCAAGCATGGCCGCAGGGAAACTTTCAAGATCTCTCCAAGTTTGTGTAGACAAGGATGTTCCCAGAAGAATGGCAGCTATGGACTCACCTGCTGTTGGTCTCCTTGTAGGGAGTTCCATCGACCCAGTGCCAGCTGCTCTCAGTACCCAGGCTGGTCAGGCCAATCCAGTAGGAAATGCCCTTGGCTCTCCTAATAAGGAACTCCTAGAACACAATAATCACAGAGGAGGTGAAGGCAGACATCATGGATGGGGGTTGATGCTGGGGACAGGGCAAAGGGCATATGGAGTCACCTAAGGGGTGTGCAATGGTCTCCAACATAGGGTGCATACACCCGCTGCTCAGGGTGCTTAGAGCCACAATTGGCCTCTTCTACTCTCCTTGAGTGAATGAATGAGCAAATGAATGAATAAATGAAAAGAATGGAATCCATTCATTCATTCATGGTCCTTTTTTTTTTTTTTTTGGCTAGGCAATGGGGTTAAGTGACCTGCCCAGGGTCACACGGCTAGTGAATGTCAAATGTCTGAAACCGGATTCGAACTCAGGTCCTCCTGACTCCAGGGCCAGTGCTCTATCCACTGCACCACCTAGCTGTCCCCATTCATGGTTCTTAAACACTCTGTGCTCTAGTTCCACTGCCAGCATCTGCTGAATCCTGTGCTTTATTCCTGAATAAAGTACATAAAATTTGCTTAAAATATCATTTATTTCTCCTTTATTACATCCCTTAAAAACTTTTCTTTAGTCTATGCCTCATAATATACATAATATATAAGCAATAATAATATAATGGGAAAGGGAAAAGCATTCATTAAGTGCCTACCATGTTCTAGGCACTATACTAAGAGCTTGACAAACATTATTTCATTTGATTTTCACAACCACCTTAGGAGATAAGTGTTATTTTAAACCCAATTTTATAGCTGAAGAAACTAAGGTAGACAGGGGTTAAGTGACTTGCCCAGGGTATCAGATACTGTATTTTAACCCAGGTCTTCCTTACTCCAGGCCCAGCACTCTAACCACTATACTCCTTAATTACTTCAGCCTACTAGCTGCATATTTTAATGGTATCTGGAATTTATTTGTAAATAAATGTGTATTTATTAAGCGTACATGATCAATAATGTCTTACTGATAGGAGTGCGAGACCAAAAAAACTTTGGAGACCCCTACTCAATGGAGCCAGAGCAAGTGTGGAATATGGACCATATTAGACACTCCTAGACTTCCTTTAGGATGAGGGGCTTCCTGGTGCTCTCTCTGGTCTCATCACATCTTTATCAAGGGAGGGGCAGCTAGGTGGCACAGTGTATAGAGCACCAGCCCTGGATTCGAGAGGACCTGAGTTCAAATTAGGCCTCAGACCCATAATACTTCCTAGTTGCGTGACCCTGGGCAAGTCACTTAACCCCATTGCCTAACCAAAAAAAAAGCTTTATCACAGGGGGAGCCCTTTCAAAATAATTTTGAGCCCTTCCCTCCAACAAATGCCAGAACCGCAACATCTCAGGGTTTGGTGACCATCCCGTCCAATGCATACGCTAGCAAGAATCCTCTCTGACTTCACTGATGAATGGTCATCCAGTCTTGACGTCAAGGTCTCCAGTGAGGAAGACCGCACCGGCAACAATACAACTAGCATGTATATAGTGTGTTAACATTTGAAAAGTGCTTTACGCGTGTTGTCTCACTTGGTCACTCACCATGGACGGCTCTCTTCACTCTGGGGCAGCTCCAGTTGTTGGGAGGTTATCCTGAACATCAAGCTTAGACGGCCTCTCTGTACCTCCCACCCATTGGTTCTAGTTCTGCCTTCTGGGGCTGAGCAGAACATGGCTGATCCCTCTTCCACAAGTAGCCCTTCGAATATCTGAAGATAGCTATCATACCAGTCAATAGGTCAATGAACAAGCATTTATTAAGCCCTTGCTATGTGCTAGGCATATGCTAGGCACTGGGGATGCAAAGAGAAATAACTCTTTGAGGAGTTTATATCCCATTGGGGGAAGAAACAAGTATTCTTATAAGTATAAAGGCAATCAATCCAAGATAATTGTGAGGGAGGCATGAACAGAGGAAGAACAGGAATGGCTTCAAGAACAAGGAGGCTCTTGAGCTGAGTTTTGAAGGAAATCAAGGGTTTTAAGAAGCAGAGATGAGAGAATGCATTCTAGGCCTGGGAGTCAGCTTAGGCAATCCCCTACGATGTCCTCTCTCCTCTAGACTAAACATGTCCAGTTCTTCCAACCAATCCTCCTACGGCTCAAGGATCTTCACCACCTGAGTTGCCTGTTCTAGAATGAGGCAAACCCTGCCCTGAAAGGGGAGCATCTTTAAGAATGGTGATTCCTTACCCCACTCTCCCAAGCCTTGCTGTGAATCAGGGTTAGAAGGACTGACCTGTTCTTCCTCTGAGGCCACGGATGTCAGATGAGACCCTTGTGATACACAGAACTTTTCAGCCTCATACCAGGATGTACGCTTTTGGGAAAAATAGTAAAGGTTTCCATTGTAGAACTTCCAGCCCTTGGAGAGCAGTATTAGGACAGTCCCTGTAGAGAAGAAAGAGCAGAAAAATCAAGGATCGAAGGGAAAATGGCCACCAATGGTGGAAAAGGGTGCTAGCCTTGCCTTTTCTGGCCCTACATGTCCTCAGGAATATAAATGTTGCACTATCTATTGGATGAGACTTCATTACAGTAGGCAATAAGTTAGATCTCTAGGAGGGAAGTAATAGGGAAAAGTAGCTTAGCATAATGTCTGGCACATAATAAGCATTTAATAAATGCTTGTTGAAAGGGGAAGGCTCAGCTAGAGCCACAAACTCTTGGGCTCAGTGGTCCCTGCAGAAAGAACTATGTGTTTCTCTAGAAAGGAGGTCAAGTTTTTGGCAGTAAGGGTGCCATGTCCTAGACTTTTTCCCTAATGATAAGGCAGGGTAGTGTGGTGGTGAGAGCAACCGATTTAACATCGGGAGGGGCATGGATTCAAATTAGAGCCTAACAGTAGCTCTAAATTCTTCCCCTCCCCCACCANNNTTCCCTAATGATAAGGCAGGGTAGTGTGGTGGTGAGAGCAACCGATTTAACATCGGGAGGGACATGGATTCAAATTAGAGCCTAACAGTAGCTCTAAATTCTTCCCCTCCCCCCCCAAAATTATAAGCTCTGTAATGTTAGTGCTTTCCCTTTGTTGATTATCTCCCATTTATCCTGTCAGTTATCTTATTTGTGCATAGTTGTCTGCATGTTGTCTCCACTGGATTTTGAATTGCCTTCCTTTGTACGCTCAGCACTTAGCACAGTGCTTGGCACATAGTAGGACTGAACAAGTGTAATCTCTCTTCCCTATGACAGCCTTTCTTATATTGAATGATCTCTATCACATCAATCAACCAACAATTTATTAAGTGCCTACTATGTGTGTCACATGTGAAATTAAGGTAAACTGAGAGACAAGGTTCTGAGTATGATCAATTTATTAGTTAGGCTAGTGATAACCAATAAATTGGGTCAATGGCCTCTCTCAATAACTAACAACTCTGAGTGAAGGATGACAGGATCTTTTATGACAATTAGTAAGATGACAGAGCAAAATCTCAAGTGATATAAGTTTGTCTTCTTCTGATTGACCTGACATTACATCATGACAATCTCAATTGGTAGGTATTTTAATGAGGAGGTGGATTAAGTATCACCTCAACTACTCCCCATTACTTCCCTGCTGAGAAATGGGAATAATCCTCAGGTGATAGGATTGGTCTGCAGACATGGGTACAGTCTGCAAAGGCTTTGATTGAATCGATTTGAATTTGAGTTAAGTCAGTGGTGGATGGCACAGTGGATAACGCATGAACTTGCAATCAGAAACACTCATCTTCCTGAGTTCAAATCCAGCCTCAGACACTTACTAGCTGTGTGACCCTGGGCAAGTCACCTTACCCTGTTTGCCTCAGTTTCCTCCTCTATAAAATGAGCTGTAGAAGAAAATGGCAAACCACTCCATTGTCTTTACCAAGAACACCCCAAATGGGGTCACAGAGAGTCAGACACGACTGCCACGCTGAATAAAAGACAAAAGCTTGGCTTTTAGGCAAGTTTTTTCTGGAATGCAGGTGAAGGGTGGCCTTACAAAGGTAAAGAGTTCGGACTTACACAGAGTGGGAGAACATTAACCCTATGCCAGCTTGATTAAGTCTTAAAAAAGGAATTAAAGTCAATTTTACATATGCCAATCACCATGCCAGGCATGACAGATACAGAGTGGGCATGTCTCTTAACCTTTTTCAGTCTAAGTTGACTAATTTATAAAACAGGGATAATGATACAGAGTGTCTCAGTGGAAAGGTTCTGGATTTGGAATCAGAGTCAAGTCAAGCTAACAAGCACTCATTAAGTGCCTATTACGTGTGATTAGGATTCAAAGGGAGGTATGAACAACTTCCATTCTCAAAGAGCTTGTGGTCTAATGGAGGAGACAACAAACAAAGAGCTAAGACATAAACAGCATAAATGAAGGTAGTCTTAAAGCAAAGGAGACTGAGCAAGGCTTCCTACAGAAAGTGAAATTCAAGCTGAGACTCAGTGGAAGTCAGGAATCATAGGTGAGGTGGACAAGCATCCTAGACATGGGACGCAGCCAGTGAAAATGCCTGGGGACTGGAAATGGAATATCTTGGGTGAGGAACTCCAAGGAGGCCACTCTCACTAGACTGAAGAGTATTCAGGGAAGGAAGAAAGGTATAAGACTGGAAATATAGGAAAGGATAGGTTTGTGAAAGACTTTAAAAACCAAACAGAAAATTATATATTTGATCCTAGCTGTAATAAAGAACT